ACTGGTTATATTCTTCTTGCAATAGTTTTGTGGAAACTAATGAGATGCATAAAAAAATATTTTCAGCAGGTTAAATCAAAAACTGCATAATTTTGAGAAGGGTTATTGTCTCTATTTACAGAATAGAGTAATGAATATTATTGGCATTCCATCTGTAATGTTTGATACTTTTTGCTGGATGTCATTGCTCACAAGGTGGCAGTTAGCTGTTTGCTCATTACTACTTATATTCTTCTTTCAGTAGTTTTGTGGAAACTTATGAGAAGCACGCTGAAATATCTGTAGCATGTTAAATCAAAAATGGCATAATTTTGACAAGGGTGTTTTTGTACATATTTGAAAAATAGTATTATAATATTGTAAAGACATTTTGGCAGAAAAATTAAACCAAGAACTTTGAAATTGTGTTGTTTTTTTCTGATAGGGAAATATGATATAAATGAAATTAATAAATTTCATAATCCCTGTGGTATTCTCTCTTTTCCTATTACATCAATACATTGGGAGGGGGGTGATTGTACTATGTGCATACAGTGCTACTTCACTTAAAAGACTTTTTTAAACTGGAGGGAAGACGGTTCAATTTTTGGACAAGAAATTTGCATGAGCAATTGCATAGCTGTTCAAATGAGGTTATGGAAACTGCTGAGAGATACGTATAACACATAAAGAAAGTACAAAATATCAGTTCAATGTGGGTATTGATGAATCATTAGCATAACAGCTGCCCTCAGGACTTTATCTCTGTACGTCAGATTTCCATCAATCACTTCAATCACCATGAGTTCTTTCTGGTAATTGCCACTCATGCCCACCCAAACCATAACATTGTGCCCATGGCAGTGGTCAATGGCAAGACCCCTGTCCAGATGAGACAACCATGATGTGATGTCCATCATGTCCACCAATCACTGCAATCACCATGAGTACTATCTGAAAATTGCTATTAAAGCCTGCCCAAACCATAACACTTTGGCAATGGCCAGTGGCATGAACCCATCCAGATCAGATAGCTATGGCATTATGTCATCATGGAATACAGTTTCCATAACTTGATTTTCTGCTTACAGTCTTCACTAACATTGACAAAAGCTGGTACCCTAGAATGATCTACATACATTTGCGAATTTTTCTTTGGCAGTAACTGAATTATAACATTTTCATAATAAATTCTAGGAAGAAGGAGTGATAGGAGGGCAAGCTTACTACAATACACACAAGGTGAGACTCTTGAGAACAGGTTCCTATTCAGGTTTTCACCATAATTCCACTGAGACAGGCACAGACTTTGTGTTACAAAGTTTCATTTTAACCTTAGCTGAAAAACTCAAATATACACAAATTACACACAAGGACCTTCATAGAAAGATGAGTTTGATCTCTAGGATATCACTACACTTATGTGGCATACATTCAGTTACAAAAATAGTCTTAAGGCTCCTTCCCAAGGATTTTATGAAATTAATGTTTTAGTAATTTACATAGATTATTCCAGCTCCACAGGGACTTTTACTGAATGCAATCAGATTATTTAGTTAATTAATTAATTAATTAATACAGACCTTATTTCCAATGTACTCATATAATCACCACCTTGTGTCTATTCTACTCAACACCACGCGTTAATATGATGGCATTCAGCTATATTTAATGTAAAGATTGTATTCATACAATATTGTAATCAAGGTGTATATCATCAGTTACTTTTGGTGACTATGTGCTGGTTGGTTTATAATATGTCATTCGTTTTTAACTTCTGAGCACATATTTTTGTTTTGATACCTGTCCCTTTTGATTTTAAAATCATATTGAACAGTTTTCTTTAGGCTAAATTACTCTTTCTCTATCCAGTCTCTCTGGCTTTCAGGTCAATGCCAGCAAATATGATATTGTAATGGAATCTGACTTGGGCACATTTACACCAACTGGCATACAGTTTCATGGTAAGAAATATTTTCCGTCTTATGGTGTTGCTTCATATGCTGTCATTACTGAAAGAATGTTTATTTCTGTTTTACATAGCTATCTTTAAGTCTTACATGTTAACATGACTGGTGTGTGTGTGTGTGTGTGTGTGTGTGTGTTTTCAACACTTGCTGAATATACCAGCACATTTTAATTGGGTTGCTACTATGAGGTGCCATAGCTGATTGCACATATAGTGCTCACATATGGATAAGAACAACAATGTCACAGTTATAGATTTGACAGCATCACTGTTGAACATCATTTAACATTTGTCTGCTTCAGTTGGATAAATTACTGCAGTATCAAGAGTGTAAGCTATTTTCTCATAATTTTGGGAATCTCAAGACAGTCATTATTTCTTTTGAGTAATGGGTATATATGAAACTGGGATAATTATCATTGAAGGCAGTGACTCTGCAGCAGTGATAATGGAGAAGGTGGCTAGCCTGCTGAAACCCATCAATGCCTCAAAGGTGAACCGCTTCAAAGACAAAGTTGATGGTGGAGATGTCAGCCAGTGGCAGACACAGTCCAATGTTCCAGGAGCAAGCATTGACACGCAGAATGACAAATATTTCTTTTTTCATCATTCTAATGGTAAGTCATGAGTGTGATGGTGTAATGTAGTGCACTATCATTTTTTGTCATTTTGATTGCAATTTTTTTGATGGTTCATAATATTGTTTAATGATGAATTACATTATTACTAAATGTGGGTTGTTAAGTGATACATATGAACAATTGGTGAGGGAAAGTAAGACAAGTAAGGCACCATGAGTGATATAGTGAAAGGTGAAAGATTAAAAATAAGAGGAAAATTCAGAAATAGATTCACCTTTGAATCTGCATCTTTATTGCTTCACGTTCAGCTTTGATACAGTGATTTTAGTAATAAAAAAGAGTAGAATATTTGAGGTTTTGTACACCTTTTGAAATTTTATAAAAATGTAATTTTATCGTGAATTTTTTTCTCCTTTAGTCTCTGTGGATATCATGCAGATCACACATCCTATACAAGCTAAATATGGACTTCAGTGCCACTCCTACTATAAAATAACTGATAATCAACAGTATTTATTTACATTTCATCCAAATTCTCCAGTGATTACAAGAAAATGTTTATTAAATTTTCAACATGTTTCAGGTGACACAATGACAGTCTTGAACTCCCACAGTTTAGATCTATGCTCTGCAGTGTGGGCTGTGATGGCCTATGTTACAGCTGATTTGGAAGACATGTTGCCCAGGTAGAACTCAAATGTTTAACAGTCCCTTTAATTAGCACATACAGTTCATAGTGAGGAGGCTGTTGACTGTGATATTATTTTTTTCTCTATAAAATGGTAGTATTTGTAACATTTAATATATTTAGAGGAAAATCATATAATGTATTGAAAATGTTTAAAACATTTGTAACCAAACATTATTGATCTTATGTGTATTTAGAAATTATCAGTTTCCATTCCATCAAGCAATAATTGTTGTTTGCTTGATTCATTGAATTATATTACCAAGAGAATTGACCTTTCATAATTATTGACGGCTGTAGTTTATAAGAATGATTTACAACTAGAGACACAAACTATACTTTTCATAGTTATCAAAGATTTTTTCTTCATTTACAGTTTTTAGAGGTTTTTTAAATGTTTAAGTATCAGGCTTCTTAATTTTTTGGGAAACCGTCTGGTAATTCCATTTTCTCCCTCTGTATATCAGAGATTATGTAATGGTAATAGTAATATATTCATTTAGAGCCTAAAAATATAACATTCTGTGGACTTTACAGCTAGTCAACAGTGCAATTTTTTTTTCAACATAGCTATAGAAAAATTCGAAATAAATATATTTCAAGAGCCATGTTTGCAGTGTTTAAGTATAAATCTCTTTTAAAAATCTGGATCTTTGGTTTTCGTTCATTTTGAAACTGTCCAGTAATTTGATTTTCTTCATACTGTGTTTCAAATATTAGTAGAAGCTAAACTCCACTTTAAGGAAATGGAAATAGCAGAGGCATACCAATAGTGAATGTCAATATCTACTCCAGTAATATCTGAAACTAGAGAAAATATTACTTTTCAAATTTTGACAAAGTTTTCTTTACAGTATGTACAGTTATACAAAAAGCAATCTATGCTACTACACCTATTAGTAAATGATACTGCAACAAAGCATGAAGTAAACTTATTGAAAGTTTACTTTGGTATCAAATAGAGAATTATTGGGATTAACTGGTGTAATCTTAACAGATATACAGACAAAAGAAATATTCTACAAAATGGGTAATAAACTACATGAATCGACATGAATCTACCTAAGTATTTGTTACTTCACAGTGCACTAAATGAATCTGATAAAAAATTATGAGCTTGCACTGAATCTGATGAGAAACTGAATAAATACCAATGCAGCAGACTAATTTCTTTTGCTGAATATGTATGATTACAACAAACTAGTTTGCAGCAATCCTCATTGAGTGAAAATCGTCTCTGCAAAGGTGTTGGGAATAACATAAAATACAATGGCCTTCAAAAATTATCCAAGCTGTGACAAAAATGCCCAAGGCAAAAAAATGGTTTAGATGACAGCTTTGTAATGGAGTAATCCAATTTCTGTGGTCCATAGTTGTAGCAATAAAGATACCTAAGTACTACATGGTTTGAAAATGTGGACTTTGTGGAAACTGGTCCAGTGAGTCTCTTTGATCTTCCCAACAGAAACAAAAGGTTTATGGCAGATTAAGTGAGCTATACGCAACAGAGTAACATTGTCTAACCATTGTCTGTTAAAAAAATCTTAGAACAGTACATAGTCTATATAAGCTACAATTGTAGATGAAAAAATCTCGTTTTGCTGCACACCTTCTGTGTCACTTTTAAACAAAGAAGCATCACTTTTAACCTTGCTTAGAGTGTGTCTCACTGGTGTCTTGGCCTGTCCAGGGACAGATTCAGGCTGTCTTCTGGGTCTTCCGGAAGACGGTCAAATTTCAAAGTTTACATTGATGAGTACCTAATTTTTTCTGTCGGAAGACGGTCAAAAAATGGAGGATGGATCAACAAAGATAATGTGGAAGACTGTCAGAAAATATCTCTGGATCCGCCCCTGCTGTCTCTGGTAGAAATGATCAGTGGTCTATTTTTTTTTACTGACGAAGAGAAGCAGCGCAACTGCCACCAGAAGAGCCACCAGGGCAATGGCCACCAGGATCACTGCAGGCCAAGGTATCTCCAGACCATTCTCTGGTTTAGATGCGGCAACAGTTAATTTTGAGCTTGACTGTGGATCAACTAGAAAAATATTAATGCAACTGAATTGTAGTTTATACAGAGCAAGAAGTTTATTACTGGTACGATGGAAGCCTGAAAGTTGTCTGTTATCAACCTTCAGTGCTCTTACATGCATTCACACTCACACAGTGCAATAGCACTTATACCCCATTCCCATACCTAGATCAATCTAGCAGGATCGACCCATCTCTGAGGTGATTCCTCGGAGATCCTGCTACATCAATCTAGGTATGGGAATGGGGTCTAAGGCAAGCTATTATGTGGACAGTATTCTCGCATATTACTGGTATTGTGTATATAAAAAAAATTTAAATTATAATTTGTTATGGTTTACAAGATTGCCTCACAGTCTCCACATAAAAAACTTACCCTTTGAAGTTTTTTCCCGATAAACAAGTGGTCCAGTGTAAAGATCATAGTGATTGAGAGCAGTGTGTTTATGGTTTGCCTCACGTCGCTTTAGCTGATGTCCAGTGCTGCCCTCTGTTGGTGGTGCGCCACTGGTAGATGAACATTCTTGTGAGCAATGTGGAGATGTATCCTCGGACGTACAAATTGTGACATCGCAGTACACATAAACAAGGCCAATCTTACGAATGAATTCAAAAACCTCAAAGTCCAGTTTAACTTCCTTGGGGCTGGCAGACTGAATGTGGAGTGTTGGATCTGTAGGACACCTGAAAATGACAATAGGCCTATTTGATTATATGCAATTAACACTTCTTTTCAGTTACTTACTTGGAAATTATATTTTTATATTTACAAATGGTGTTGTTAATGGCTATTAGTTTTGAAACACCAGAATTTGAAGTCAATGTCTCTTCTGTCTAGAAACTTCAAAACAGCCATTTTTATGGTTGTTAGCCAAGGTGTATCAATCAACTTTTGAGCTTCTTTTGATGACAAAATGCTTACCTGTCCTTGACCAAAAAATATTTGGTAGGGTACGTCCTCGAAGGAAAAGGGGTGGCTTCACACATCTGGACTATGAGCTTCAGATTTGGATCTGACGTCGCTAGTTTAACTGACCAAAACACGGTATCCCCAAAAGCAACAAAATATGGAAATTGCACAATTGGAATCCTTAAAAGAAAATAAAGAAAAGGGTTTGAATATGGATAACTTTCAGTGATCTGCACTGTGTAGTCTGGGTTTATGATGAATTTAATGACAAATGAAAGTTGTTATGTGTATAACTTTTATAAATATTTATCTAATATTGAAAAGAAATTGTGACAGCAGAATCTGTCACTTTTGTCTCTCTCTTTCTCTCTCTGTTTCTTTCTCAATATACCCATCACTGGCTGCACCTGTAATTCTTATCCTTGAACATGTTCATGTGTATGGTGAAATTGCCGTGCACAACGTGTACTCGTCCTATCACATTGTGCCCTTTACGTTGAAATTCTCTGGCTACTGTTGCATGCTTGTGCAAAACGCAATCAAATGGCAGCATTAGTGCCCTCCCTCTTGAAATTATGCTGGAAGGAGGCCTGTGTCTTTCACTAGAGGAACTAACTGACTGTATCCTATTACTGTACATAATGGCATTGTCTGTTTCCTAAAAAAAGGCAAAAAAAAAAAAGCTTTTGAGAAACCTACAGATGTAAAAGAAGTTGGGCACCAGAAAACTCAGATATGTACAACAACATTGCATATGTAAAATGAACACTCTTTTCCACACACACACCCAGACGCACATTCTTTCTTCTGATTTTTCATTAAAAAGATTAGGAGTAGGCCTACCTTCCTTTGTGTCCCGCATGCGCCCAGTGGTATGTTGAAGATCAGCTTTGATCCGCTTCGAAAAGGAGTGCATCCCCTGTCTAGCAGTCTTAAACTCGTCATATCTATGTTCTCATACTGTGCATTTAATTTCGCCACGTCCACCTGCACTTCCAATTGTACGGAATTACACTGCACATCCATAATTTGGTTTGACGCTGAAAAAACACATCCAAACACAATCGCACTCTTGGCTCAACTAACACATGAGAGCAGAAACTTGCACCACCAAAGAAAATTGCACCACCACATTTTGACACCAACGGGTTTCATAAAACGTTAAAAGCTGTGTACAACATACTGAAAAAAGGCGAGATTTCTTACTACTAAATCATACTGGATAATCTTATGATGCATACTAGATGCCTACATTTGACATTTTTCTACAAAGAAGAAGAACAGGTTTTATTAACGAATGTTGATGTTACACTAACCTTGAGGGTTGATGTTAATCGTTTGGAGGTGGTGTTGTCGCTTCCCACATTGATCAGTAGCCGTCCAGTTAACGTGTCGCACCATTGTTCTCTCACCATCACATACACCCGCTGTTGTATCTCTGTGGAAGGTGATGTTGTGATATGGGCATGTCTCCAATACCTGGGGCACTTCGTTGTTCTCCCAGTCTGCACGGTACTCGTCACATTTTATATACACGTCTATGTCGAGAGGAAATCGGATAACCGGCTCCTTGATGTGCTGTTCTATGGTTTGGTTGCCGTTCACTATGTGGCCACACCCGTCGCGCAACTCCCACTTCCTCACCAAACGTTTCTCGCACGCGGTTGACGAAAGGCCTGTGTCGGTGTATGTAATGGACGTCACTCCTCTTTGCTGACATTTATGTGCAACTGTACCTCGAGCTCTCCCGGTCTCGTCTGGCGTGGTGTTTATGATACAAACTTGATCACTGTAGTCACCTGGGATTATTAGACGTGGTGGTGCAGCTGCAAGATCTTCATCTATGACACCGTCTCCATCATCATCGAGTCCATTAGCAAGTTCCTCGTCAATTCTGTAATCACAGTCATTGTCCATCCCGTCCGCCGGAAGACCAATTTTCGGAATGCATTCGTCAGCAATATTGGCCAACCGAAGACCGCCTGGGTATCCATAAGATTCATCCTTCATAAAGCCGTATAAATACACCGCGAAAACGACCCTGGGGTCTTGATGCTCTATGGTATGGGTACCAGGATTTATGCGCACAGNTACTTTTGACAAATCATCAGAGCTTTTTCAGATTTTTTTTTCAAATTGTATGAAAAGCCTGCTCTCTTTGTCAGTTAACTCTAAATGGCTGTATACACTAGTATGCTGCAAATAAGACCTCCACTAATTTTTTAAATTCAGCATGCCATTAGGATTTACACTGAGTACATATAGAATATTTATATATTAAATTTCTTTGCAGATTTTTGACTTTGAGCTTAGTGACAAGGATATGAAGACTGTGAGCAGTTACAACCATAATTATAGGGCTTGCCACTTAACATGGTAAATACACATTAACCTTTTAAGTTAAAAGTAACATTTGATATTGTGAGGCACTGCAATTTGTAAGATGTTTGGATTGTTTTTTGACACCTCAGTAATAAAAAAGTTATTATAAAGGTTTTTGCTTGAATTTGAATTTTGCTAGATTTCATATTTACTTTCAGACAATTTTTTATGACTTGTCACTTCTAATGTGTGTTATTTGTAATAGAATGGGTATTTAAAATATATTTTTATTTGACAACAATTTTAGTTTCTGTGAGAAAATAATAGCACTGAAATGTCATCTTGTAGTAATTAGTTCTTTCTATGTTTATTTTTTCTTCTAGGGTTAAAGACCACATATATTATCCATTTAAGGAAGAATTTTAGAAGGAAAGGGTCCATAGTGACAATTGTATGGACTACTTTGCAAAAGGATCGCTTGTTTTGAAAATGTACTGGATACATTCCTTCATGAGTAGTATGAGTTAAATTGTTTTGCTTACGTGACCTGATGAAATGCTATAGCACAAATCTGTACTTAGATTGAGATCAAGACAAAATGAGAAATATGGAAAATAGTGCAATCAAATTGGTAACAAAAATCAAAATATTGTTTATTTTTTAGATATAAGCAGTCGTTTTTTTTTTATAATGACTGATTATGAGCATCATATGATTGTCTCATTATACATTGTAGATAAATGATAGATTACCTTTTAAAATAGTTGAACTATGGGCTGCTGCTCAGTGAACTTGATATCAGTGGCTTTTGCCTAAAACCAAAGTGCAGGTATTATTTTACCTTGCATATCTAGTTTAAAAGTGCCATTCTTATCTTTGAACTTGTAATGTCAAAATCATGGATAGATGCAGATTTTCTGTATCAAAACTTTATCAATACCATTTTTATTCCAGGTTTTGACTTGAAATTATGTTTATATTTAGAATTGTGTAAATCATTGATCTGTCCTTGATTTTATTTATAATTTGTGGAAATTAAATGTGTTGATTGATTGTAAGGCCCTTGTCTTTTTCTGAAAATTGACCAAGTGTACAAATCTGGTGAGTGGATGGTCACGTTTGTCTTAATTTGAGAGCGGCCCTTATTTTTCACCTTCTTACACCAAGTTACAAAGTAGAAAAAAATGACTTAAAGAAAGATTGCCCATCCTATGTGCTGAAGTGCGTGGGGTGGTGAACAAAAAAGGGAGTTTGTACTCTTTATTTTTATTGCACTTTTATGAAGCATTTCGCATAAGAGAAACGAGGAAAGCTATTTTGCTAAATAAAGACCCTTTCTACCTTTCAATACCCTTTAAAAAGATTGTGACAATTTGTCTGAGGAGATTGTGGTAGAGCAGCCGCAACAGACAGCACGGGCACAGCATTGAGAAAGTTCCTGTGAAAGGTGGGAATTCTAACGTGTGGTTGATTACACATTACATTAGCATTCAGCCCATCCCCCAGTAAATTGCGTTTTTATCATGTAACTTCGCTACTGATATGAAGGCATACTAATATCACCTGGCTAATTTCGTGATTTGATGTCATTCTTTTATAACCATTTCTTACCAATCATGATAATAAATCTTAGTAACTTAACATCTTGTTCACAAAAAGATGTGCCCTTTGCATAGATGAAATAAGGTGTTAGTTACAATGGAAAATAAATGAGATTAGTCTATCACGAAATCGAGGTCGTTTAATGCTTATCAAAATTCGCGATTCCATTGCTTCACTTGTAGGACCTAAATTTTTAAATACTTAGATAAGCACATCTCTTTCCATTCAAAACCACATTCAGAACCTCCCGGCAGTGGGCTGTACAAAAGAGAACCAACACGGTGTATTGGGGAGCAAATTGTGGTAGACTAGCCTCCTGTCAGGATGGTGGGGGGGGGGGCGTTACGGGGGCGCTGTAACTCCATACTTGGACATAATGTTATGCCCAAGCTCCATACTACTAAAACTGGAGTAAAACACGTTATAGATCGGGTCTAAACATCATCTGTTAAAAGTATCAGTTCTCTTGGCCGTCTGTCGAATAATCACACGTCTATGCGTCAGTGTTTTCCATTTTAATTTATCGAAATCCTCCATCAAAGCATATTGGGTCTTCTGACCTGTAGTGCGACAGTGACATGATAAAATCGATAAAAACTGTCTCAACATAAAAATATATACAAAATTTAATTAGATTTTCTACCGAATAGATAACACCTAATTATATGTCAAATACAGATTACACTTGCTCGATATGTCTTTGAAATATTGATCTTTTTTTTCTTCATGATAGTTAACTCGCCACTACGTTTGTAGTCTAAGTGAAATAAATTATACTGGTATTAAAAATGACACAAGAACAACATAACTGATGTCAACTTTCATTGATTTTGACTAGATTTAAAATGAGATGGCAATTACAACAGACCAACATGCTCCATGCACGTCAAACTTTACTTCAGAAATCTCACGAAAAGAGTAATCTCCCCTTTTCCTTCAAAACAAATTCCAGTACTCGATCTGAGAAGAAATGGTTCTTTGCGGTTAGGCGCTGTTACTCCTTGCCCACACAGTTTATGTACATTGGTTTGTCATACCGTACCGTAGCGTAATTCTTAACCGATGAAAATCTCCATCCTATTGGACCCCCTGGACGCAGCCTATCTCGGACAAAGTGATGAACCGAGCTTACTATCTATGGGTCATAGAAAACTATTTCTGAGCCAAAATAAATATAGATCACCCATGACGCTTTTTATTAACGTACGTTTTTCATCCAACGGGAAAGGACTAAAACCAGGAAAGATGACTTTGGTGATTTTGTTGTGTTTTTTACTGTTACCATTTATTCCAAACGAAATAGGTAGGGGGGCCTAAGTGGCTTCTTTTCACCTGGATAGGTGTACTCTGATTGAACTAATTAATTGATACTCTCCAATGAGAATACGTTTGAGTATATGTTAACTGTTACATATGTTTTAAAGTTATATAGTAAGAAACCCGTGGTCTTTGCAACATACGGTGCTATGTTGAAATGAAAATCGGCCTTACAATAAATTAATTGTAATTGCAGGAGCAGCCACTGATCTTGAGAAACAGTTCATGGTAGTGTTTGGACCAAGTGGAATAAATAATCCAATCCCACGAGAGATCCATATTATCAACAATGATGATAACACAGGCACTGTCAATGTGTTCAAAATGGGTGATTTTAAAACGAAGATCTCGATAAGACCACCGGTAATTTCACCATCTTATAAAATTGAATTAAACGAGTTCGTCTCCAGCATCGGTCTTGTCACAAATTTTAAAAAGAAGTAGATTTTGACCTGTTCTTCATTTGAATAAGTTACTACATTATAAGTTCATTAATGTACTTGTGACGTGACCTGTTTTGACATGTACAAATACAACTGACGGAGCTTAAAGACATCGTGATAAAATATAAAAATAATGTGCCATCTGAATTTTACGTCGGTCATGTAAAGGTATCATTTTACAGCGAATCTCGATTAAGAAACACTCGGGCCCTTCCGAGATGCAACAGTTTCAAAATAACAATACTCTACCGTCTGTAATGTATACAAACGCAGAGACATTTTGATTAAATTGCAATAATGGGCCGCTGTTTATATATATATTTACTTACCATCACGCAAGATAATTCAATTGCTGCACAAACTATTAATTTGTTACACTCAAACATCCAAAAACCAAAATAATCTTTCTCTTATATGAGAGTCTAGATAATAAAAACAAAGAACTCAAAAGCCCGTGAAAACATATTTAAGCCCGTGATAAAAATATGTTTGTTTAATTTCAGATGAAGTTAAATCCAGGAGAAGGGAAACTTGTCACACTACAAAATCGGAACAACATCAACAAATTTGAAATGTCTGATAGGTTACTTCTTGATTACATCAAAGACAGGACATTTGTTATAGAAAGTGACATAAAAATTTCCGTCTTCGCTGTAAACAGGGACAATGCCAGCACGGATTCTTTTCTGGTGCTGCCAGTGGCTGGATTGGGGAAGCACTACGTGGTTCCATCCTGGAGGAGAAAATTCTTTGGCAGTGGATTTGGATCATCTTTTATTGGTAAGTTTCCATATTTGCCAGAATAACATTCTTAAATCCACGTTAAGAATGAATATAAAATTCATATGTTCTTTTTCTTCGTCGAGACATGACAAGGGATTGTGTTACTGTCATGTTTATTGAAAGAGAAGGTGAGACGCATTAATTAGAATGGGTATGGATTAAAAATATATTGTCTACTGCATGCTAATTAATACGCTGGTTTAATAAAGTTGCTTATAAGCTTCACTTTTTATTGCGTGTGTGACTGTTTTTCGCCGGACTTAATATTGACTACTATGCGATGAAAAAAGAGCAAATTAATAATACCTCAACGGCATTTGAGCAGCCCAACTTGGGCATGATGCTATAAATGAAAATAATATTCAGAGTGTGCTAGCATTAAGGTATCTTTTTCCTATTTGTTTTTCTATTTGCTTGCTTCTTTACGAAATTTTGTTAAACTTTTTGCTCGGTTAAAGGAACACGGTCATCGCAGTATAATTTTACAATTGATACTAACAGTGCATTCCTTCTTTTTCAAGTTGTAGCGCCAGCAATAATAAGGGACCCACATGCAGATAGTTTTCAAGTGAACTTCACATTTCCATGGAGATCGGACGATCCAGATGCAATTAATTTTGCTACAATCCCTGGATACACCAATCCGCTTTCTGTACAAATAGATGGATTCGATATGTCGACATATGAATACAAAGGTTCATCTTTTCAAATTCTGTGTGACAAAGATCTCACAGGAACAATAATCACTTCTGACGAGCCGATTGTAGTCGTATCTGGTAACGAACGTGCATCTATTTTTGCTAACGAAAAAATAATGATAAACGGTACCGAATGGGATAAAGACGGAAAGATAGATGTAATAATTAATGGGACCAGATGGCAAAATTCTTATGATCATATCGAAGAAATGATACCACCAGTGTCTTCCTGGGGAAAACATTTTGTTACCGCTCCTTTGGCAGAGAGAACAGCAGGGGATGTGTTTAGATTATTAGGTAAGTAAATTGTCAGTTTTCAGTTTGACATTTTATGCGTAATATTTGCGAATATAGGTTGTCATGTTGGAGCATCACTCATTAAATTTTTAAACTGATCATTGTTTCAAAATCAAATTAAAAAAAGACTTTTTATGGACATTCTATCATTATCAGTGCTGTATTAAAATTTTAATTACATTTATTCAATGAGTTTCTTCTTTATTTTTCCAACAGCTAGCGAGGACGACAGTGAACTGAGCGTACTGAAGTATCGCGCTTCTACATGTCATCGTGGCCCAAACATTTTATCCTTGTTAAGTACTGAGACGCACACAGTTCAACGACAAGGGGAATTCCTGCAACTCGATGTTGGTTCTAATGATTATATGGTCATCAGATCAAGAAAGCCCATTCTCGTTGTACAATACAGCAAATCACGTATGTAATTTAAATCAAGTCAATATTTATTATACAGTGTACCGCTTTGGCATTTTTCAGCTGTAATCAACAGAGCGATTGTTGATATTTCAAATCTATTGTAGATAAATATTTGAAAATTATTATTGTACATGTTTGATATACTGTAACAAGTATAGATAAGATTTAGATTTGTTTGAGGATCGAATTTCATTGTATAAGATTCGATTGCAGCTTCAGTTTAAACCTCCTTATATATATATATATATATATATATATATATATATATATATATATATATATAATTAATTGTATTAAAGGGATAATAACTCCTCATATGAGATCTATATTTCACAATAAAAACATTGTGAATACTCTTAGAAATGTAATATATTCTGTTTTACCACAAAAACGGCAGTTATAGCTATTATTCTGATATCTGAGCTTGTCTTTAGACCACGTGACCTCCATTGATGGCTGTATTGTGTTAAAATCTCCTAAGAGATTTTAACAAAAAAC